CTTGCAGGTGTGGATGTGGTCTGGATGTTGTCCTGTGTCCTGTGGTCTCTATTTTAGGAAGATTTTTCTTTGTTATATTTTCATAGCTCTATGTGTTTTTGGGAGGAGATTTCCACTGCTCTACTCACACCGCCATCCTGGCTCCGCCCTTAACGTATATTTTTAAGGTTCATCTATGTTACAGCATATATTGGTATTTCATTCCTTTTTATGGTCAAATAGTATTCCTCTTTATGGATGTACTTTATCTCTTCATCGATTGATGGATGTTTGGGTTGTTTCTGCCTTTGGGCTATTATGAAAAGTGCTGTTAATGTCTGTTTTTGTTCAGACATGTTTTTATTTCTTTTGTGTCTGTACCGAGGATAGGAATTGCTGGCTCATATGGTAACTGCTTAAAATTTTGAGTAACTGCCAAACTGTTTTACGTAGTGTCAGCCCCTTTTACATTCCTACCAGTAATATATGAAGTTTCTAATTTCTCTACATCCTCCCTGATACTTACTATTTTCCATTTTTTAAATGATAGCCAACCTAGAGGGCATGAAGATGTTTTGATTTGCATTTCTCTAATGACTAATAATATTGAGCATCACTACATTTCATTACATCATTTCATGTACTTACTGGCCATATGCATACCTTCTTTGGAGAAATGTCTGTTCAAGCCCTTTACCCATTTTTTAAATTGAGTTGTTTGCCTTTTTGTTATAGGAGTTCTTTATATATTCTGAATACTAGACCCTTGTCAGATATATGATTTGTAAATATTTTCTCCCATCCTCCAGGCTTTCTTTTCATTTTCTTGATAATGTCCTTTTATGCTCAAAAGTTTAAAATTTTGATGCCCAATTTATCTGTTTTCTTCTTTTGTTGCTCCTGCTTTGGTGTCATGTTTCAAAATCAATCCATTGCCAAACCTTAGGTTATGAACATTTACCTGTATATTTTATTGTAACAGTTTTATGGTTTTAGCTCTTACCTTTAAATCATTGGTCCATTTGAATTCAGTTTTATTTATGATGGGAGGTAGGAGTCCAGATTTATTCTTTTGCTTGTGTATATCTAGTTGTTTCAGCACCATTTAATGAAAAAATGATTCTTTTTCTTTGAATGGTTTTGCCACCATTGTAAAAAATCTATTGACCGTTGATGCATGGGAATATTTCTGGACTCACAGTTCTTATCTATGGATTTATGTATCTGTCCTTATGCCAGTTCCATAGTTTTGATTGCTGTAGCTTTATACTAGTTTTGAGATCAAGAAATGTGAGTCTTCCAACTTTGTTCTTGTTTTTCAAGGTTGTCATGTTAACTTTTTGAGAAATCTGTTAGTGAAAATTATTTGACTTCACTCCTATGTTTCTCATGTTCTTATGATGATAAAATTTCTTTTTCATGTAATAGCAAAGAATATCCCATGGGACTAATATTGTTGTGAAACATGTTTTGAAAAAGGTGGAAATGAGTATGAAGAAATTCTTTGATTTGTCTTAATATTTCAACAGTATGGGTAGAAATTGATTGATTTAAACTCCTGCCTTCCTGTTCACTTTTTCTGTTTAAGTAGGAAGGGCTTAATTCATTCTAATGATCTTTTGTTGTTAAAATATAATTTTGTGGGGTAAATAATGATATCAGCACCATACTTCCTCATTAACTTTAATACCTTTGGTTTTGTTGCTATTTAAAAAGAATTCAAATATAGAAAATTTCAGTCATACATCAAAGCAGAGAGAATACTATATAATGAACCCATCACTACTGAACTGTCTATATTTGGCAGACAGAACTCCAGTCATGGCTTTTTTCCTACTGTTATCCTGAGACGTGCAGCTGAATGTTACCATAGCCCTACTTGCCTAACCTCTAACAGGCTTTTGGTCATGACTAGTTCCCTCCTTGGAACTAGGAATCCAGTGCTTCCCATGGTTGCATTTTTCAACAAAAATAACATTCAAGATGAAGCTCTTGACTTCTGATTCTGGTCAGAAGCTGACTCCTGCCTGAAGAAATCGATACATTAGGCTTTAATGAAAACTTGTACTTTGTGAAAGACACTGTTAAGAGAATGAAAATATGGGCTGTAGACTGGGAGTAAATATTTGTAAATTACATGTAGCTATATTATATAATGCACTCTTAAAACTCAATAATAAGAAAACAACCCAATTAAAAAGTGGAGAAAAGATTTGAGCAGATTCTTCACCAAAGAAGATACAGATGATAAATAAATACATGAAAAGATGTTCAGTGTCATTAGTCATTAGGGAAATGGAAATTGAAACTACAGTGAGATACCATTACATGCCTATTTGAATAGCTAACCAGAGAAAACAAAATAAAACAAAGAAAACAAAAAAATGGCCATGACAAGTGTTGGTGAGGATACATAAAATTGAAAACAGTTTGGAAAACAGTTTGGCAGTTGTATAATGCATTAAACATACATCTACCATTTGACCGAGTCATTCTACCCTTCATTCTACCCCAAAAATATGAATGTATATGTCCATATAAAGACCCGTACATAAATGCTTATGGCAGTTCCATTTATAATAGCCTGAATGGAAACAACCCAGGTGTCCATCCACAGGTGAACAGATAAACCATTGTGGTGGGTCAGCACAGTGGAACACTAACACTAAAGAGGAATGGACTGTTGATACATGTAACCATGTGTTTAAATCTCAAAATAATTATGTTGGGAGAAAGAAGCCATACAATGAAGAGTATATACTGTATGATCCTATTTATATGAAATTCCAGAAAATTCAAATTGATCTATAGTGACAAAAAGCAGATCAATGGTTACTTGAGGTGATGAGAACTGGATAAAGAAATTACCAAGGCACATAAGGAATCTTTTAGGAGGACTGGAAATATTTTCCATATTGATTATTGCAGTGGTTTGGGGATGTATATATACAAGGCTTATCAAATTATTCATTTTCAGTGTGTCCAGTTTTTTATATATAAATTATATGTTAATGAAAAAGCTCTGGAGCATTTTTCACAAGTATAATTTTTATGTGTCTTTTTAACATGACTTTTACACTCCTGTAAAGTAAAAAAATGAGGTTACAGTAATATAAGCTATTAGTTATAATTCTGAAATATAGTGATCTCTATCTACTATAAATACCAATGTTATGAGTTTAAACTTTTAATTTGTTTCAGGCAACTACTCTACGAGTGAGGAAATTAGAAGAAAATATTGAAGCAGAAAGAGCAGCACATTTGGAATCAAAATTTAATTCTGAAATTATTCAGGTAAAATGTAAACACATTTTTTCTTTTGTATGGACTTTATTAAGCTGGGTGAAACAGCATTATATTCAGAGATCTAAGGTGTGTGGTTAGAATGACTAGCATATTGTTCAGACATGCATTATTCTGCATACTGTAAGAATATAGTTGAGGATAGTCTGTACTAAATTGGGGGAGTTGGCACACTACAGCCCATACTAAATTGGGGGAGTTGGCACACTACAGCCCACAGGCCAAATCTCACTCATTGCCTGTTATGAAAATTTTCTCTTGTCTATGGTGGTTTTTGTGCTGCAGCAGTGAAGTATAGTAGCTGCGATAAAGACCTTACGGCCTGCAAAGTCCAAATTATGTACCATCTGGCCCATTACAGAAAGATTTGCTGATCAGAGTGTTTTTATCACCAGCCACAGGGTGAATTTCTTTCTGAAAACACTTAAAAAATATGCATCTTAATTTTAATCAGTGTCTATCCTATGCACATCACTATATTAAGAACTGTATAAAGGCGAAGGAACTTATATTCCATTACCAGAAACACTATATATCTATACATCTATATATATATAGATATAGGTACATGTATAGATAGAAATATGAAATACTGAAACACTGTGGGAGCATAATAAAGAGAAGGATTAAATCTAAGAGGGGAAGTAAATGAAGGCATCCTAAGGGAAGTGTTCTTTCTTTAGGTCTCAGAGAATGAGAAGGAACTTCTAAGAGAAGTGAAGGCCTATTTACTGGGGGTTGGCAAACTGTTGCCCATGGATCAAGTTAACCCACAGTCTGTTGCAAATAAAGTTTTACATAAAGTTCCATATATCAATTCTCTTAATTTAATTTGGATTTTTTAAAAACTTAGACTTTTTCCTGCACCAAATTTTATTTGATAGAATTTATCTAATTGCCTAAACAGGTCTTAATATAAGATGCAACTAAGTTTGTAAGAATTTTACTTTAAAGTTTTTTACTTTTATATTTAATGAAATACCTCTTTCACCTGCAAATTTCTCAGACTGAACTCATACATTTGAGTGTATCTGTATGTCCAGCAAATTTGTGTAAGTCAAACTTAAAAAAAAAATTATTGGGTCACCCAAAATGGCATCAATAAACAGTAAGTTTGAAGTCTTAAATTCATGAGAGAAGTATAATTCAAAATTAAGTTTTTCATTATTGTTACAATGTATCTCTGGGAATATGTAGTTGAGAAGTATATTGAAAATTACTACATGTACATTTTTTGCTTGTATAGTTGGAAATTTATCTGCCTTTGTGCTATGCCCTAGAAAAAAGCAAAAGTTTATATTTGAACCCCGTATCTATAAATATTGACAAATATTTTCAGTGAGGTACACCTTGTAAAATTCAATTTCAGACTAGTTTAAAAGCAATGAGACTACTAAATGGTTGTAATTAATTATTTTATCTGTATAAACTGTAGTTAAATTTATGTTTGAAGTATTCTGTTACTAAATTTGGGTACTGTGTCATAAAAATGAGAAAGTAGTGTCAAAAGAGTTGCCTCAGAATTGTTAACTTGAAGTCTACTTTTCTTTCATTTGGATTGGTTTATCATTGTGATTGAGTGTGCTTATTTTCTGAAAGAGGATAGCAATGCAGACAGAAGGAAATGTTTCTTTGATTTATTGTTTTACTTATTAATGTTGGATTTAAGCAAAACAGCAAAGAATAAAGTTTAAAAAGACCAAATTTGAAAATTTAAAAAGTTGCATCTACCTATCTGTTCTCCTTCCTTCCTTTAATGCAAGAATAAATTTTCAATTTTCCAAAATATTTTTGGTTAATTAGAAATTGTTATTCTAGTGATTATTTTGGCAGAGATTAATTTATGAAACATTTCCGTATTGTCTGTTGCCTCGTTTTTTGGTGAGTCCATCTTTCCTAACTCATGTTGTCTTTCACCATACCTGGGAAACTCGAATCATGCAGAGTTGACAGCTTCTCTCTGATTTCATGGCGCTTTGTGTATGCCTCTGTGAGCAAGCTCTTCCTTACTACATTTGGTTGTAGTCTGTCCTCTCCTAAAGACTAGCATCTCATCAAGAGCCACGGCTGTCTACTTTCTTGATTATTGTATATATCTATATATTGTATATATCTCATTGCCTGGCACATAGGAAGTGCTTCACAAAATTTATCTAAACATTTAGTAAGTAAATAACATATATTTATATTTAATATTAAATGCATATTAATATTAAATATTGTTTCATTTGGTCTTTGTAGCAACCCTGTAGATAGTCTAATATTATTATTATTATTTACTGTTTTCTGATGGAGTTATAATGGTTTGTAGTAGTATGTCAAAGGTCATATAAGTTAATTCGAAGAGCTAGAATTCAAACTTGAGTTTTATGGTTCTAAAGTCCATTTCTATCTAGTGTAAAGCTTTTTTTCCCCAGCCCCTACTTTTTTTGAACTTAGCAAACTGTTTTATTTTTAATTTAATTTTCTGAAAAGGTAAAATAGTTCAAAAATCAAAATTTTTAAGAACTCTTGCTTTCACTCCTTTCTGTCTGTCACATCCTTTTACTCTCTTGCCTGCTACTTACTCTTATTTTTTCCACTTGTTTACTCAAAATAAAGCATACTACATACACCGATCTGGACTTCTCTTTTCAATATACATTAACAGTACACAGATAACTTGCTTTTCAAAAGTTGTTTTGGAGCCTTTTTACAGTTACATGTTATTCTTCATGGGAATGCACTTTGTTTATTCTACTGTTGGTGTATACAGGGAACCTAATTTTTCAAATGTTTTATTAGGCAAAAGTATACTTCAAGTATAAAAGTACAGAGATAGTAAAATGAACTTCCCAAGTACCATCCATCACTTTGACACTTATCCTTAGGCCAATCATGTTTTATCTATTATCCCTACTTACTCCCCACCACATTATTTTGAAGCAGATCCCAGTATTCATATTACTACCCCCAAAGATATTTTAGCCAATTAGTATTACTTGATAATAAAAGTTTTACTTTTCCACAGTAAGAAATCTCTAGGAATAAAAAGATCTGTTATATTTCTTAGACTATAATGATGTTCATGTAATGCTATTTCTCATAAGAGGGGAAGAATACTTCTCTTTAGTTTTCAATAGCACTTAATTTATTACATTTTATAAAAGGAGTGTCCAAATGGATTAGTAGGTCAAAATTAAGCACTTTGACGGGCCAGGTTACATCCTATCAGCCTGTCCTTTTCCACAGGTAACTGTTTTTCCACCCCACTTCCCTTCCATTAAACATGTTAAGAAAGGGAATAAACTTGTCTTCTGCTTATTTTTCTTTTTAAACCAGAGCAGAAAGAAGTGTTGGATGAATGATAATCTGCTGTTGAGATAATCAAGTTGAGATTAATGCTAACATTTCCTAGTTTGCCTTAATTTCTTCTCTGTCATCTGATAGTTACGGATTCGAGACCTTGAAGGAGCTTTGCAGGTAGAAAAGGCCAGCCATGCAGAAGCTGTTGCTGATTTGGAAATGATCAAGAATGAATTCAAAGAAGTTGAAAGTGCCTATGAGCGAGAAAAGCATAATGCACAGGAGAGCTTTGTAAAGCTAAGCTTGTAAGTGTTTTACTGTAAAATTCTCTGAATATGGTTTATGAAACTTGTCTTAATATGAATGTGTAGTATTTTAGATACATTTCCTTTTAATAGCAGTGATAGAATGGGGGTAAAGGGCTTCATAGAACATAACTATACTTCCCTGTGTAAGTAAATAAAGGAATGCTTTTTTAGATTTTTAAGTATCATGGCTCTTCTAAATAATTTCAGAGGGCAGTTCTTACATGAGAAAGTAAATGTATAAATGTATTTTTGTATTGTATTTACTGATGTAATACAGCGTTTTTAAAGGCCTTGATTTCTATGCTACTTAAAATGATCTATGTAAAGCTAGATAATGTTTGAGACTTTCTCAGACTGCAGAAATAATAGTAGTAGGACTAAATACTGCTATTAGTGGCTGGCATGCATTGTGGCTCACTTAGTGTTTAGCATTGTATGGCTTCATTTTATTTATGTAACACCCTACAGGTAGCTACTCTTTTTATCCCTGTTTTACTCATGTGAAATTGGGCTTAATGAGGGCAGGGAAACACAGCTAGTAAGTGGCAGAGTCAGGATCTTTTTTAATTCTAAAGCTTTCCATCTGGAACATTCTGTAAGATGCTTTAAGTTTGTAATTCTTTAATGTTTCCAGAAAAAAAGTCAAGGGCAAAATGCATACAACCATTGGTATGTGACATGATAATAGGTTGGTACATTAGAGTTTTGTATGTATTTTTAATATTACTTTCTATTTATGACAAATAGATAATTGTTTTTTATTTACAGCAGTATTACAAAGATTCCTTTAAAATACTTCATTTCACTTAAGGAGTGAGTTAAAACATTATTTAAATAGCAAAAATAATAAAGATGGCTATTGGAAAACTGAAGTTGAAAAAATATAAAATTTTTAATTTTGATTACCTTTATTAGTTATGTTTATAATATTTTAAACCAGTAATTCTGAACTGAATTTTCTTCCTTCCTTTAGGATGACCCCATCTTTCATTTCCCTTATGTAATATGACAGCCACTTCCATTGCAATTTTCTATAGTATTAGAAGGCATGATAGGACATGAAGGATGATTGGATAAGTTATTCATTTTCTACCTGTACTTCTGAATCTTCTTCAGAATCTTCTTAAAAATATTTTAAAACCTTTTAGAGTCACAAACTTTCAAGTATTAATTTTTTAAAGTAGTTCTAAGTTTTGGATAATGTATCCCAAAAGGCAACTTAGCAGATTAGGTCTTTGAGGTAAATCATACCTTTAATTTACAACTTTGGGAGCAGGAAGTTTTGGGGTTGGACATGGTTTTACCTGTTGGAAAGAACTGATTAGCAGTTGGTGGTAATGAGATTAGAGAGAAAATGCTGCCTGAACTTTGCCTGTGTTTACAGTTCTTAAGTTTCTGTTTCCTCCCAGGTAGATCTAGGTAGGATCTTACTAAAAGGCAGAAGAAAGCTGTGTGTATGTTTTTCAGAGTTATAATTTTGGTCAACAGTTGCACAGTAATGAACATTCCTGCATGAATTATTTAAGATGCAATATATATGTATACATATATATTAGATGGATTATATATGTATATTTAACATTTTATGTATACTTATTTAAAATAATTATATTTAATATATAAATACAACATATTTGATTATATATTTATAAATATATTACAAGTATATTTAAATATTAAATTGGTATATTTTAACTTAAAAAGTATGTATTTTAGAAGAGCTCAGCTAAGAATTTGATGACTGGCTCTTTTAATAAATATGTATATCTATCATACGTATTTTAGAAAGAATATAGATGTTCTATATTTTTGTAATCAAATTATCTAGTTATAAAATTTTTTTGTATCTAAAACTTGCAGTATAGAACTAAAACTTTTCAGTGGCCTTTTTATTTTAGAGTTTTCAGTATGTCAAGTCTTCATTAGATGGGGCAATTGTACTGGGCAATGGTAAAGAGAGCATGGTAATCCTAAAATCTGTTTTAAATTTAAATTTAACTTAAAACAAATACTAGTCAAAGTTTTGATACTGAATGAACTGAATCTATATTTATATCATTACACTCAATATTTAGGAGCTTCTTTATTTTTCTAAATGTATCATCTAAATGTCTAAAAATAAGAAAAGTATTCTAATAGCAGTATTATTGTTTACATTCTCGGTCAGAGCCCTCAAATGGCTGTTTGTTAAAAAAGCTTGTTACTGTTCTGAAATTCTTCGCTGAGCTCTCTGAAAATAAATGATACAATGGGAACCAGTGGGAAAGAAGGTGTCATAACTATAAGAAAGGGAGGTTTCCTTCTCACCTTCCCTTTCTCGCCTAAATCCCTCAACCTTCCAAGTCCTGACTCTTCTCTATTGGAGTTCAGAGCTGGGGGCTCCCATTAACCATCCTTTACTTCCTGACTACTCCTGCCCCTTGGGTGGGCTGTTGGCAGATTAAAGAGAAAGGAATGTTGACTGTTCAGAGCAAGTGCCATTTAAAAATTGGCTGTATATTTGATTGTCACCCGAATGTAGGTAGTGTGGACTTCTTTATATTGAGTCCCTCTATCTCCTGCACTGCAGCTTAAAAATTACAGGAAACAGGTCTACTGTATTTATGAGGAAGATCTCAGATTAAAAACAGTGGCAACACTTTAGTTTGAATTGAAATGATGCATTTGGTGGCAGATTTTAAACTACTGCCTCCATCAAACTACTGCTTCCAAGCTGCCTCTCATCATACTTCCATACAAGAATGTAAATACAGCTTAATGCCAGCCTGAGGAAAATTTAAATGGGAAGGCAAATCCTTTGAAAAGAAAATGTTGTGATTTCACAGTGCATGTGAATGATACTTGATTTTTCTTGCATTTGGAATTTTCACGCTACCGCACCAGTCCCGCTTCTTTGGGCATTCAGAATAAACTGTTCCATTTGTAATGTTATACTTGCATTTGAAAATTGATAGGACTGTTTTCTCTCTTGAGGCAGTGTCTGAGCTAATTGAACTATAGTGGGTTTTGTTCATCAAAAATAATGGTGAGAACAAATCAGCACCAACCAAATCTATTTTGCTAATAGCCTTGGGCGTAGTGAAATACCTGCTAACAAGAAAGGTCTTATGCCTTTAGAATATAAAAGTGTATGCTCCTGTTCATTTGAAAAAATGAAGTGGGCGTTTGGCATGAAAACAGAATAGATAATAATACATCTGTCATTTGTGTTAAGCTGTGTAATGGGACGTGAAAAAAGCATATTTGAAAAACCTGCTCTAACACTTTAACTTTTCAGATTAGAAAGAGAGTATTTCTCCAAAAACAAGAAATTAAATGAAGAAATCGAGGAGCAGAAGAAAGTAATTACAGATCTTTCTAAGAGACTTCAGTATAATGAAAAAAGTTGCAGTGAATTACAGGAAGAACTTGTAATGGTAAGGATAAAAAAGAAAACCCTATGGCAGTTACTTTATTGGGTCAAATTTGATGTGTAACAGGTTTTTTTTCCTCACTAGATGTCATGAGATACTAGTATGAAAGGAATTTTAGTGACATTGATATAAAATTTAGAAATTGGAGATAGTGATTGCAACAAAGATGTATATAATTAAACCTCACTTCTTTGGAATAAATGGGAAAACTAACTGAATTAGTGAAAACTCTGAATTAGAGAATGTTGAAGTTTTTTCAGGTCTTTTTCTTTTCTTTGTGCATGCATAGCAGTGTTACTTAGGTGAAGGGGAATCTGAGGTTTATAATCAATAGATCTAGTGATTTAAAAACTCCCTTTTATAATCATTTTGCACCTGATCATTCTGTCTCCATTCTCCAATAACTAGCTTTCACAGCATCACCAAATTTATCTGTCTGAATATTGATCTGATCTTGTCACCATCCAGTTTAAAAAAATACATCAATGTCTCCTTGTTTTCAGAATGTGGTCCACCTTCTTGTCATGTAATCCAAGGTGCTTTGCTTTTCACCTCCATGTTCACTTTCCCAGCTTCTTTGGTCATTGCCCTCTATCTTGCTTCAGCCACTTTAGAGCATTCTTGGTTTCCTAAACTGTTCTTGGCTTTTTTATTTTCAAATCTTGCTTTTGTTTAGCCTATTCCTTTTTTTTGACCCACACTGACTGAAATGCTCCTTCTTTTCCATTAACAAATTTCCATGTATCCTGTAATGCCCTGCTCTGATACCTCACAATCTGTGATTATTGAAAACACTATTACTTTAAATAATGTTTTTCTGTTTATGAAAAATTCATCTATCACTTTTCCTAAATATGTTTTTCTTGTATATATTTCTTTATTTTTTTCCCAATAGATTAGTGGCCTTTGAGTGGGGTGGTTTTCAAAATTTCTCCATGAAGAGGTACCTATCAAATAAAAAATTCTAAACCATAAAAATGGAATTTTTCTAGTTCTGCATCCTCAAAGTCTGGCTATAATTTTTGCTCTGAATTCATAATTGTTTTTGACTGAAGAGAAAATGACTTGAGGGAGCTTTTACCCTTTGCTTTTGGTAATGAAACTTTGTTTTAATGATATCCCATGATCCTATGTACCCTGGTTGTCTTTGCCACAGTTATGTTTCTTTTGAACATAATTTTCTATCAATATTTTATAGAGTAAAGATGGGAAGCATAGATTACCTACAGGTAATTGTTCTCTCCCTTTGAGGTAGCAGCTTGTTTTCCAGGTTAGGATCATGTTCATGGCCATTATTCAAGTCTTAATTTTGTCTTTTACATTGCAAGAGAAAATTAAAACCACTTTCCTCTGTAGGTTTACTAGTGAGATCAAGGTAGTATTAAAATGTGCAAAGGCTTCAGGAAGTTTTGTGACTTAAAAATAACAGTTGTGTAACTTAGTTTAGCATAGCCTTTTAGAGCTAGAAGAGGCCTTAGAGATCATCTGGGTGAGGATACACAAAGTATTAAAAACCATTTGGAAAGGGGTAGCTCCCCCACCCTTTTCAAGAGATACAGTACAACTATAGAACATAATTTTGAGCAAGTCCAACCTGGATATGTTGACTCGTTTGTTGGTATTTAAGAAATGTGAACCCGGATATCTTTGTATTTTTATATTAGTTTAATTCTTCCTATTCAGTGTATGAATCGAAAAGATAATGATTAGCAAATGAGTGGTATATTATTATTATTATTATTATTATTACTATTATTGTTAATGTTACAGAATAGATTTTCAACATAAAATATCTAAGGATTTAACACAATTAGTTTTATATTCTGTGTTACACACTGTTGAATTTGACTTTTAAAGTTTTGATTAAGATTGAACTATTAATTTCAAAATCTATAAATTTAATAATGATTTAATCAACTACTAAGTAAAACTGAATTTCTAGTTTAAACTGCTTAGTTTTCATGCTTATTAAAGTCCATCAGAGGCTCAACAGATCCAGCTGGGTATTTCGGTCATTACTCTGAGTTTTATATCTGCTTTACTTGAAGCAGGGGAGCTATCTTTTCAAATTGGTATTAGGATTTGCTTTGTGCTTTCTACAATGTAGTTTTTTTAAGTCCATCATTTCTTGAGATTGTTTTTCTGCCACTCAGTGATATTTACGTAGAGCTCTAGAAGAGATCATATATTGAAAAGGGAATTCTAGATCTCATGAGTTTTGCTCAAAGAATATTTTATTCTCTAAAGAACTTATGGTTGAAAATGGTCAAGTGTATCTTTTTTCCCCGTACTTTGGGGGGCTTCACTGATTATATAATTGTAATGATTGCTGGCATTAGGTAGGCTCTTGGAAAGTTCTTTGATTGCTATATTTTGTGGTAAAGTTAATGTTTCTTTTTTTCCTCTTTTTTTTTTTTATTAAGGTATCAGTGATATACACTCTTATGAAGGTTTTACATGAAAAACATTGTCGTTACTACATTCACCCATGTTATCAGGTCCCCAACCATACCCCATTGAAGTCAGTGTCCATCAGTGTAGTAAGATGCCACAGAGTCACTACTTTTCTTCTCTGTGCTGCACTATATTCCCTGTGACCTCCTCCAACACCATGTGTAACAATCGTAATACCCCTCAATCCCTTTCTCCCTCCCTCTCCCCTACCCTCCTCCACCCCTCCCCTTTGGTAACTACTAGTCCCTTCTTAGAGTCTGTGAGTCTGCTGCAGTTTTGTTCCTTCAGTTTTGCTTTGTTGTTATACTCCACAAATGAGGGAAATCTAAAGTTAATGTTTCTTGATAATATTTCTGCTTCAAATCTGTTAGGTTTGTTTTTAGGAGGACATATTTCTGAACTTGCATTCTAAATCAGTGGGTTAATAAATACTCTATTATGAATTTTTACTAAACAGTTATTGATTGTTGCTTTTCACCCAGAATGGAGTGTTGGCATAAGCATTTTTTTTTGCTAATATAAACATCACTTTCTGCCTTTCTTAGTGGCCCTTAAAATTTTCTTTTTTTTACCAAGAATGTATTGTTTTTTAAAATTATTTATCTATTTATTTATTTACTTAATTTTTTTATTTTTTGGTATCATTAATATACACTTACATGAACAATGTTGTGGTTACTAGATTCCCCCCATTATCAAGTCCCCACCACATACTCCATTACAGTCACTGTCCATCAGCATAGGTAAGATGCTATAGAGCCACTACTTGTCTTCTCTGTGCTATACTTCCTTCCCCATGCCACCCCCATATTATGTGTGCTAATCATAATCCCTTTCCCCCCACCCTCTCCAGTCCCTTTCCCTTTGGTAACTGTTAGTCCATTTTTGAGTTCTGTGATTCCGCTGCTCTTTTGTTCCTTCAGTTTTTACTTTGTTATTATGCTCCACAGATGAGTGAAATCATCTGGTACTTGTCTTTCTCAGCCTGGCTTACTTCACTGAGCATAATGTCCTCTAGCTCCATCCATGTTGTTACAAATGGTAGGATTTGTTTTCTTCTTATGGCTGAATAATATTCCATTGTGCATATGTACTACATCTTCTTTATCCATTCATCTGCTGATGGACACTTAGGTTGCTTCCATTTCTTGGCTATTGTAAATAGTGCTGCGATAAACATAGGGGTGCATCTGTCCTTTTCAAACTGGTCTGCTGCATTCTTAGGGTAAATTTCTAAGAATGGAATTCCTGGGTCAAATGATATTTCTATTTTGAGTTTTTTGAGGAACCTCCATACTGCTTTCCACAACAGCTGAACTAATTAACATTCCCTCCAGCAGTGTAGGAGTGTTCCCCTTTCTCCACAACCTCACCAACATTTGTTGTTGTTTGTCTTTTGGATGGTGGCCATCCTAACTGGTGTGAGGTGATATCTCATTGTGGTTTTAATTTGCATTTCTCTGATGATTAGTGATGTGGAGCATCTTTTCATGTGTCTGTTGGCCATCTGAATTTCTTCTTTGGAGAAGTGTCTGTTCAGATTCTGTGCCCATTTTTTAATTGGGCTATTTGATTTTTGTTTGTTGAGGTGCATGAGCTCTTTCTATACTTGTGATGTCAGCCTCTTATCAGATATGTCATTTATGAATATATGTATTCATACATACTGTAGGATGCCTTTTTGTTCTACTGATGGTGTCCTTTGCTGTACAGAAGCTTTTTAGTTTGATATAGTCCCACTTGTTCATTTTTGCTTTTGTTTCCCTTGCCTGTGGAGATATGTTCATGAAGAAGTTGCTCATGTTTAGATTCAAGAGAGTTTTGCCTATATTTTCTTCTAAGAGTTTTATGGTTTTATGACTTACATTCAGGTCTTTGATCCATTTTGAGTTTACTATTGTGTATGGGGTTAGACAGTAATCCAGTTTCATTCTCTTATATGTAGCTGTCCAGTTTTGCCAACACCAGCTGTTGAAGAGACTGTCATTTCGCCATTGTTTATCCACGGTTCCTTTATTGTATATTAATTGACTATATATGCTTGGGTTAATATCTGGACTCTCTATTCTCTTCCACTGGTCAATGGGTTTGTTCTTGTGTCAGGACCAAATTGTCTTGATTACTGTGGCTTTGTAGTAGAGCTTGAAGTTGGGAAGCGAGATTCCCCCCACTTTATTCTTCCTTCTCAGGATTGCTTTGGCTTTTCAGGGTCTTTTGTGGTTCCATATGAATTTTAGAACTTTTTGTTCCAGTTTGTTTAAGAATGCTGTTGGTATTTTGATATGGATTGCATTAAATCTGTAGATTGCTTTAGGCAGGATGGCCATTTTAACAATATTAATTCTTCCTACCCAAGAGCATGGGATGAATTTCCATTTATTGGTATCCTCTTTAATTTCTCTTAGGAATGTCTTGTAGTTTTCAGGGTATGGGTCTTTCACTTCCTTGGTTATTAGCTTTATTCCTAGATATTTTATTATTTTTGATGCAATTGTGAATGGAATTGTTTTCCTGATTTCTCTTTCTTCTAGTTCATTGTTAGTGTATAG